ACGTCTTATTAAAATGCCGAACATATTGGCCACAGTGACTCTTTTTTTATAGTGCTTCCTTGTCATTAATTCCATGGGCACAGAGTTCAAATAGTCGATTATGGGAGGAATCAGTTTATAGGGTTTACTTGTGCTTGAAAAGCTTGTTTTTCGACTTTCTTCTCCTGATTTTCTTATTTTAAATACGGACGGATTTTCAAACCGTAGGACATTAAAGTAGAAACATATCTCTCCGTAACTTTATTATCAACGTACTGACGCGGAGTAAGGTACGTACAACCCTGAATAACACCATCTACTCGACTCTACTACGACTACGACTGTTCACTCGAAAGCGCAACGAAAAATAACGACTTCCTCGAGAATGTGGAGATGTGAGGTGGAGATTATTGGACGTGGTCGATATGGAACGTAAAGGAAAGAGCCAGTATCTAAATCTAATATACATTAAAAGGAGAAACTGACTGACTTAGTGACATATCAACGCACAGCCTAAACGGCTAAACGTAGGCACTTGAAATTTGGAAGGGATGTAGCTTAGGTACCGTAGAGGTGCACTAAGAAAGGAATTCCCAAAATTCCTACGGGAACGGGAATTCGCGGGAAAATCCTTTTGTATGAAAAATCTAAACCGCTTAAGTTAGACGCTTGAAATTTGGCATGCAAGTACCTTAGTAAACTTAAAGCTCAGTTACAACAGGATATTGCAAAATTCCCACGGGAGCGGGAGTTAGCGGGAAAAAACATTTGTATGACAAAATCAAAACCGCGAAAGATAGACGCTTGAAATTTGGCATGCAGACACCTTAGAAAAACTTAAAGCTTAGTTACAACAGGATATTGCAAAATTCCCACGGGAACGGGAGTTAGCGGGAAAAAACATTTGTATAAAAAAAACTAAACCGCGTAAGATAGATGAAGGGGGTAAAACGGGATAAAACGGGATCCACGCGTACGAAGTCGCGGGCGGCCGCTAGTTTACTTTAAAAAAATACATTGAGTACTCAGGTTAACAAAGCTCAAATTGCAGCTAGTTTAGAACAAAATTGTAACTAGTTTAGAACAAAGATACTTGGATGGAAAAGTCTTTCTTGAAAAAAAATACATTGTATGGCAGATTTTTTGAAAAAAAAAAAGTGCCAGTATTCACTTAACCCATTAACGCCCTCTGTACACACGTGTGTACACTTCTTTAAACTTTATTTATGAACGCAACTTCTAATGTTAAGTCAAATTACTTGATAAAACCTGATCTACACACACCGGCAGATTTAGCGGAACGCAAAAAAAAGTATGAAAATAAGGAAAATTACTACTGATCTATGAAATATTTATTATACAAAATAAAGAGATAATTAAAATAAAATAAAATAACATATATTTTTTAAATATTTAGTCGTTTTTATTTAATAAAAAATCATCGAAACGAAATTTCAATTTTTCAGTTTTGAACAAAAATTAGAAATTGTGGCCAGATTAAAAATTAGGGTAGCTTATCACTATCCAAATGAATGAATTAATGATGGGTATTTCCCCCTCTTGCTCTGATGATGGTTTCCATTCATCTGAGCATGCTGCAGTTAATGATATGAAGGGTATTTTGGGGCAATGTCTGCCATTCCTCTAGTAACGCGTTTCTCAACATTCTTTCTTACAGAGAAACTCAATTGTGTTATTTTGACTGTGTCGTCCAAATCACAAAGTATATTGGAAATCATCTTATAAAACGACATTTATTGTCAAAAATATGGAAAAGTTGAAATTTACATTCGAAGTGAAACCATCAACAGACGGAAAATCCAACTATATTGCTGTAACCTCAATTACGACACAAGATGACAAAGTCTTCCTTATTCCTGAAGAGTATCAAGCAGTATCACTACACAAACACATCCAAACTTCGAAAACCTTCACTACAGTGAAAAATACGTTGAAAAAAAGATATCAATCCAGAGGTGTTTGGATAAAAATGACAGAGGGTATATTACAAACCTACATGGATGAGGATGATAACATGATTTTTCAAGACCAGCTTCTAGAGGAAACTACCCAAGAACAATTGGCTATTGCTAGTAAAAAGTGTTCAGAAGATCCTATTGTGAAAATTCTGGAAAAATTAGTGGAAGGTCAACAAAACAGAGAAAAGCAAAGTATAAAAAAGTTAGCAGACAGGTTTGTAATAGAAAAGTTTGACGGGAAAAACTCAAGTGCATATCAGTGGATGTCCGTATTTGAAAAAGAATGTGAAAGATTCAATATTACACAAGATGAAGAAAAAATTGAAATCTTCAGATTATTTCTTGAGAAATCATGCAATGATTGGTATTCTTCTATGATGATCAAGCTTGGTTTACAGTCCGAATGGTCAGAATGGAAATCGAGTTTTTTGCAAACCTACGCCAGCAAAGGTTGGACTACTAGCAAGTATGCTTTATCTTTCAAGTATCAATCAGGATCTTTATTAGAATATGCAGTAAAAAAAGAGAAACTTTTACTAGAGGTAAGAAAGACAATAGATGAAGGGACCCTTATCGATATAATTGCTGCCGGCTTACCAGATTTTATCACAGATAGAATTAACAAAGAAGAAATTGAACACACAAAACACTTGTTTAATGCACTGGGCAGATTGGAACATTTGGTTACAAGAAAAAAATTTATTAAAAAAAGAGAAGATACGAAACCGATTAAAGAAAAATGTGGTATTTGTGAAAAATTAAAGAAAGGCATACGCTATCATTCAGAAGATTCCTGCTGGTTTAAAACCAAAATGAATACTGAAAAGGATAAAAAGCAAATAAAGCTCATCAACAATTCGGAATTGGAATGTGAATTACAGTGTGAAGACCAAAAAAACTAATAGTGCCGCCATTGATCAAGATAAAATTAGTACTCAACAAAAATGTTGAAGTATTCGGGATCTACGACTCAGGGTCTAATGTCTCATTGATAAATTCGAAGTTATTAAAGATAAATAACAGTGAAACCAGACATTCCAAAAATACTAATTTAAAAACGATTAATGGCGTTAAAAAGGCAAATGGCATAATTACACTCGACATAGCCATATTTGATGTGGAAAAACAAATGAATGTTTTTGTAATAGACAAAGAAAATTTCGATTACGATTTTTTAGTGGGACTAGATTGTATAAAAGAGTTTCACTTAGTTCAAAATGAAAACCTGGAAATTACTCAGAAAATACCTGTACAGAGTGAAATAGTTTCTAAGGAAACAAATAAACCAGACTCTAAGGAAGAAACATCTAATAATTTAGTAAACTACAATGAAGACATCAGTGACGAAAAGTTCCATATTTGTATAAATCATCTAGACTATCAGAAGCAAGCTGTGATTGATGAATTAATATCAGAAAATAAATCTGTGNAAATAAGAAAATCTAGTTTTTATTTTATAAAAATAGGAAGTACCCAATTTAATAATTTTAAACAAAATTCAATATTTCTTCAGTCATCTTTTTCAATTGCTTCTTCGTGAATTGGTCGCCCTATCACATTTTCAACATTAAGCATTTTTTATAATACATATCAATGCCCATTATGCCCAATTAGCTAAAGTGCGTTTCCAGCCCCTAACTTAAAGGAAAAAAAAATTTAGGTTATTATAAATCGTTTAAATAGATCAATATTTTATTTTACATAATTACATTTACAAATTTATTATATTTAGCAAAAAACGACCCAACTCCACAAAGCATGTCTTATATTCTAAAACTTACATGAACATACCTACACAAATTTGATCAGAATAAGAAATGTACTCAATATTAGGTATGTCATAAACATACTTATGTCCAAAATATTCTGTAGAAGGACAAAATAATAATCGAAAATAGTTAACACAACACTAGTGCCAACTCAAAATTCCAAACGCCGCACAGGGATAGGTATTTCAAATTTACAGAGTTTTCGCATTTTCCTCTTTCCTAAGGCGAACTTTTATATTAAGCCGCTTGCGGGCTTTAGTTGGTGACACAATTTTAATATAATTATCCATGGGAACTGTCTGAATANAGCCTATTAATTTAACACATGTACGACTGTACTCAGTGTTGCACTATCAAATGCAATTGAGGCGCCTCTATGCCAGGGTTTTTATGTTCCTGGTCAGGCTATAACAAGGAGGATGTAATGACGCTTGCTAGGTGGTGCCTCTAGCGAGTGATACGGGACCATCGCCACCACTGGTTGCCACCGCTGCGACTCCTGTGTAGCCAGGATCTACAGCTTGACCGCCAATAAAGACATTTTTGTCCCGGGGGAAAGTTAAACTGTCATTTGATTTGGACCCGCAACGAAATTAATCAGAAGAACATAGGAGTTCGAAATTCAAGTTCGACTTTTTTCAAGTGATAGGAGCTTTGCAGTGGAGCCATTTTAATGTGTGCAAATGCAAAAGTTTTTCTAGAACTTCAAGTTGACTGCAGTAACAGGACCTGACTAAAGCTGCACTAATCGATGAGCGCTAATACTGTGCCATTGGTTTTGTTGACGTGGTCTGAAATGAGACTTTGTACTCGATTCAAGCAAGTACATTTACAGCAGACATTTACTTGAAGAAGATTGCAAAAAACTAACATTAACTGGTGTTCAAAAATTTTATAACTAAGCAGCAGTTGGGGCGATTGGGATTCGTTGTCATTATCTATAGTCTGGTCCGGGAGCACGTAGAATTTTGTCCAATGACCCCAAGCTACCCATCCTTATCGCTCGCGTGTAATTATATTGCTGTCGCGACTGTGCGACGGGCGCCCGCAGTGAGTGTGCGAGCGCGATAGCAACATAATTACGCGCGAGCGATAAGGATGGGTAGCTTAGGGTCATTGGACAAAATTCTACATGCTCACGGACCAGACTATAGACCTACACCAATCGTAGTCTGAAATGAGGCTTTATACTCGATTCAACTATGTACATTTACAGCAGAAGTTACAAAAAACTATCATTAACACTTTTAGCGTTCAAAAAGTTTACAAGCAGGGGCAGTAACGGCGATCAATTAAATTGATTCCATGGTGTACTAACCGGGACGGTGGTGAGGCAGGTAGGCTGCAGCGTGGTGGCGTCGCCCTTCGTGCCCTTCATGATCTTGTTGGACGAGTCCAGCATCGTCAGCGCCGTCGAGTAGCCGATAGGGACGCCTGCGGATATAAGATACGTGTAAATACTTGGTGTGGTAATAATTAAATGGCGGTGTGGCAATTGGAAACGGGTCCCGATAGCGACAGAAACAGACGTCATAAGTGTTGTGCTCTAATTTAGCGACCGAGCCGAATGGACATATTGATGCAATGACGGTTGACGGTATTAAATCTTTTAGGTTTTTTACTACCGTCCAAAGAAGCGCGACTTCTCAGACGGCTTCCATGACAAAACAAGATGAAAAACAGTTCTGGAGTTTAAAGGCTCACCAGCTATGATGCAAATGCTCTCGGTCAGTAAGCATATCAAGGGTGAAACCCTTTTCTTGCCGAGTGGGGATAGCATGGGCAAGGGACTCGAGTGATATAACGAGCAATAACTGTTCAGATACTCACCAGCAATGATGCAGATGCTCTCAGCCAATAGCTCAAAGACGTGGGCAAGTGGCAGAAAGCCCATTAGGATGTCGTCTTCTCTGATGGGCACGGCATCAGCGAAGGACTTCGGCGTGGCGATCAAATTACGTCAAGTTGCTATACCAAGCTAGTGGATGCTATAAACTCACCGGCAATGATGCAGATGCTCTCAGCCAGGAGTTCAAAGACGTGGGCAAGTGACAGGAAGCCCTTCAGGATGTCGTCTTCTCTGATGGGCACGGCAGCAGCAAAGGACTTCAGCATGACAATTATGTTGCGGTTACGTCGTTGCTATGGCAAGTGGATGCTCTGAACTCACCGGCAATGATGCAGATGCTCTCAGCCAGGAGTTCAAAGGCGTGGGCAAGAGGCAGGAAGCCCATCAGGATGTCGTCTTCTCTGATGGGCACGGCGTCGGCGAAGGACTTCAGCATGACGATTATGTTGCGGTTACGTCGTTGCTATGGCAAGTGGATGCTCTGAACTCACCGGCAATGATGCAGATGCTCTCAGCCAGGAGTTCAAAGACGTGGGCAAGTGGCAGGAAGCCCATCAGGATGTCGTCTTCTCTGATGGGCACGGCGTCGGCGAAGGACTTGAGCGTGGCGATCATGTTGCGGTGGGACAGCACCACGCCCTTGGGCACGCCTGTGGAGCCCGACGTATACATCACGATGGCCGTGTCCGATGGCGACGGAGGCACCGTCTCTGTAATGCACATGAAGTAAACGTCAGAATTCATTCTTTGAAAGAACACTTTTATTTCCAATTTTTTTTGCATAATTTTACTAGATTCGCCTGGTACTAAAGCCTGGTCCGTGAGCACGTAGAATTTTGTCTAATGACCCCAAGCTACCCATCCTTATCGCTCGCGCGTAATTGTATTGCTGTCGCGACTGTGCTACGGACGCCCGCAGTGAGTGTGCGAGCGCGATAGCAACATAATTACGCGCGAGCGATAAGGATGGGTAGCTTGGGGTCATTAGACAAAATTCTACGTGTTCACGGACCAGGCTTTAGATTAGATCAGTGCGAGAAACTCCATTCACTGTTATCAGCCTCTTTTCCAAAATTGAAAGCTGCACAGAATAGATCAAAATTATTTTTGTAAAATTTTTACAAACATTTAATTTTATTCTTTACGTTACTGTACTGACGTTACATTACGTTACCGTACTGTACTTTATGTTACATTACTGTAACAAATAAAGTTACAGGAAATAGGACAGTTGGCTGTGCAAATACAACAAGCAGTATGCTCAATTTTAAGAATAGTTATCTACAGGATTGCTACCATGTACCTTTATAGTTTTTATTTACGAGCATATTTCCAATATTTTGGCAGCGTGGGACGTCCACCCACAAGGTGAACCGACGACCTGATAAAGATAGCAGGAAGGCACTGGATGCAGGCCGCTACCAAGCGTGCAATGTGGAAGTCATTGGGGGAGGCCTATGTTCAGCAGTGGATGTCCTGTGGCTGAAATGATGATGATATTTCGGCACTGTTGCAAGCGCCATGATCATGGAGTAACTGAAGATCTAGCGAGTGAGATGTTATTGGCTAATATATCGCTCTATCTTTTTTTTTGTCGCAGAGGAAATGCTTTGCGTACCGTCACCACTGCCGAGTGACAGGGTGGTGTGTGGGACTGAAACGGTGGGGGTGTCGCGAGTATCCGGCCATAACCTTAGACTTAGGCGGGGGGCCGACGGGAATGGCCCGCAACGCCAAGCTATCTCTCTATCTGGCCAACTCACCGATTTTAGAGTTGGCGCCCATCTCGACGACCTCCTTGTAGGCCACGATGCGGATGCCGGGCTTGAAGCCGTCGCGGTCGGTCTTCTGCAGCTGGTCCTCCATGAACACGATGGTGTCGACCCGCGGCGTCTTGGCCAGTATCTTGCGGAACTTGGGCAGCAGCTCGTGCGTCGTGATCACCGTCGACACCTCCGTTTCGTTGATGCCGTGCGCGATCGCCTCGTCGCCGAGCGTCGCGTATATCGTCACCACTGGAATTTGTGTTTCGTTTTATTAGAGGATAGTCTTGGATGATTACGAGTGCCCGAAAACGGACCATGTAGGTAGGCATAATAATGCCTATGAAATCAAATCCAAAACCTAGTCTAGTTGTCTAATGACCATAGTAAAAGTTTTGCTTAGTTTGGGCACTAGAGGCGTAGTGTAAAATGACTAAGGATATTTTTAAAAAATGTGTGGACTAAATAAATTGGTACTCACAAATCGTCAATTGTTGTTCTTAAGAAGCCTTTGTGTTATGTTTACTGACATAGCATTTCGAGAAGAACAGCAATTACATCTTCCACATAAACATTATTATTACTGTAGTAACTGACAATAGCTTGAGAATGAATTTATGTAACTATAACACTAGCTTTCGCTGCAGTTACTTCTTCCCATTTATATACGCCTGTCAGACGTACAGTAGTCACTAGTTTACTACTGGAATAGTCTTGAACTTTCGGCGAATAATTTTATTTCATTTATTTTCGAGGTATAGCTTGTTCTAGTTAATTAAAGTCCTGCCACTACGACCCTTTTTGATCTATTTGTAATCGCCGCAAAGTCACAATTCGCTTCCGAGTCCTGTATTTATTAGGCAGTGCAGTATCGTATAGTGCGAAATGTCAAATCCATAAAAATCTTATTAATTTATGATATTTTTATCCTGTTTTAATTTTGTTGATTAGTTTAACCAATGAGTTAATAAAAAATTTTTTTTTTATGGATTTGACATTTTGCGCTTTTGACATGTTTTTTCTCCCATTCTACGTCCGTCAGACGTAGCCTGAGCTCGCGCGCACTCACCCGGGATGCTCTGCTTGAAGCAGCCGTGCGCTGCGACCATCCACTCGGCGCGCGTCTCGGCGAACATGACGAGGTTGTGGCGCGGCCGGCAGCCCAGCTCGCGCAGCCCCGCGCCGAAGTGCCGCGCCTCGCGCTCCACGTCCGTGTACGTCCGCCAGACGTAGTCGCCCATGTTGAACTGGGGATAAAATCAGGTGAGATCAAGACAGACTTAATTTTTAACACCTGTAATATGTAATTTACCATGTTTCACGAATAAACGAATTTTGATTTTGACCAGAGTTGGTTTAAAAATGATATTTTTGGTAAATCATCTACAACCGTAGTTCGAATCAGATAAAGAAGGGTGGGTCTTTAGTTGGGAATATGAATGTAATCGTTAAAATGTATCCTGATTTCTAGCACACCGATTTATTTATCGCCCTGTTAACGCGAAACGAAAATTATCCTTAACGCATTGGCGTAACGAAATCAAGCCCGCATAGCGCACCAGGTCTACATAGTCCTTAGTCTAGTATAGTAGCGCTGCGTCATACCTTCTTGAAGACGCGGCCGTTGGGCTGCGGCTTGTCCTCTCAGAGCACGGTGCGCGTGCCGAGCGAGGGCCGGGCGGTGTAACGCATAGTGTAGCCAAATGTGACCCGTGTAGCGCGCGATGTAGCGTATTAGCATATTCGGTGCATCCCCTGTAGCGCTGGGTCATACCTTCTTGAAGACGCGGCCGTTGGGCTGCGGCTCGTCTTCCTCGTTGAGCACGATGCGCGTGGGGAGCGATAGCCAGGCAGCATAGCGAAGTCTAACCCCTGTAGCGCGATGTAGCGCAATAGTATACGCGGCCCATCCCCTGTAGCATTGCGTCATACCTATAAAGTACGTCTAGCCTCCGTAGCGCTTCGTCCTACCTTCTTGAAGACGCGACCGTTGGGCTGCGGCTCGTCCTCCTCGCTGAGCACGATGCGCGTGCCGAGCGAGGGCCGGGCGGCATAACGCATTGGCGTAACGAAATCAAGCCCGCGTGGCGCACCAGGTCTAGTTCTTAGTCTGGTACAGTAGCGCAGCGGCGTACCTTCTTAAAGACGCGGCCGTTGGGCTGCGGGTCGACTTCCTCGCTGAGCACAGTGCGCGTTCCGAGCGAGGGCCGGGCGGCGTAGCGCACAGTGTAGCCAAGTGTGACCCGTGTAGCGCGCGGTGTAGCGCAATGAAGTACCAGTTCTTACCCATGTAGCGCTGCGTTACCTTCTTGAAGACGCGGCCGTTGGGCTGCGGCTTGTCCTCTCAGAGCACGGTGCGCGTGCCGAGCGAGGGCCGGGCGGTGTAACGCATAGTGTAGCCAAATGTGACCCGTGTAGCGCGCGATGTAGCGTATTAGAATATTCGGTTCATCCCCTGTAGCGCTGCGTTACCTTCTTGAAGACGCGGCCGTTGGGCTGCGGCTCGTCCTCCTCGTTGAGCACGGTGCACGTGGGGAACGATGGCCGGGCAACATAGCGAAGTCTAACCCCTGTAGCGCGATGTAGCGCAATAGTATACGCGGCCCATCCCCTGTAGCATTGCGTCATACCTATAAAGTACGTCTAGCCTCCGTAGCGCTGCGTCTTACCTTCTTGAAGACGCGGCCGTTGGGCTGCGGCTCGTCCTCCTCGCTGAGCACGGTGCGCGTGCCGAGCGAGGGCCGGGCGGCGTAGCGCGCGGCGGCGGCACGCAGCATGGCCTCCATGGTGCCCACGCCGTCGCGCACCATGCGCACGTGAAGCTCGCACGGCTCGCACACCGAGCGCACCGTCACCGTGTCGCTCGTGCTGTCGATGATGCGCGCCTGAAGGACAATACCAGTGTTTAATTTTAGATTCAAATTCTTCATAAGTAAGCCTTTATGTCGCAGGACCGGTCTTTGTGGAAATCCTTGGAGAGGCTTTTGTCCAGCAGTGGACGTCATTCGGCTGAAACGAAGCCTTTTTTCAGGGCACTACGACACAAGGGACAAATTATTATCTAGTGACTACACAACACTAGCAATGCTAGACGATCTTCCGCCCTCCGATAACCAATGTAGACGTTTCGCGCGGTGGATGTGTAGATCCAGCTGTTTATTTATTTATTTATTTATTTAAAATCTTTATTACACACATAAAAAAACAGTGGTACAACAGGCGAGCTTAATGTTTACCCATTTGCTAGCACACTAATAATAAACTATGCTAGCTAACACAAAGGAACCGAAGGTTGGGTTTGGGAAGGGACTGTTGCCGACAGACGTTACAAACCAAGGGGGGCTAGGGGGATAAAAACCAGAAGTCCCCACTCTTAGGATTAAACTCCCTTTTTAGTAAAACGGGTAATTAAAATANAGTGGTGACTGAGTTTGTTCCGGCGTTTCTTCTCAGCACTTGCCATATGTTTGTCTCGAAGCGCTGGTAGGGCCCAAAAGATAAGGAGACATGTAAAGTGCCCCATAAGGGCTACCTTTTTCTTTTTTTATTATTTTCTATTGACGTTCATAAGTGCCACGTGTGGTCTAAACTGAATAAATATTTTTGATTTTTGATTTTTGATTTTTTTTTATTCTCAGTTGAGAGAGCGTTCTCGGGAACGGCACATCAATAGTCGGGCAGTGTAATGCATTGGCTAGTCCTCGGTATGGTATAGTAGCGTTGCGTCCTACCTTCTTGAAGACGCGACCGTTGGGCTGCGGCTCGTCCTCCTCGCTGAGCACGGTGCGAGTGCCGAGCGAGGGCCGGGCGGCGTAGCGCGCGGTGTGGCGAAGTGTGACCCGTGTAGCGCACCCCTGTAGCGCGATGTAGCGCAATAGCGTACCCGGTCCATCCCCCGTAGCCCTTCGTCCTACCTTCTTGAAGACGCGGCCGTTGGGCTGCGGCTCGTCCTCCTCGCTGAGCACGGTGCGCGTGCCGAGCGAGGGCCGGGCTGCGTAGCGCGCGGTGTGGCGAAGTGTGACCCGTGTAGCGCACCCCTGTAGCGCGATGTAGCGCAATAGCGTACCCGGTCCATCCCCCGTAGCCCTTCGTCCTACCTTCTTGAAGACGCGGCCGTTGGGCTGCGGCTCGTCCTCCTCGCTGAGCACGGTGCGAGTGCCGAGCGAGGGCCGGGCGGCGTAGCGCGCGGCGGCGGCACGCAGCATGGCCTCCATGGTGCCCACGCCGTCGCGCACCATGCGCACGTGCAGCTCGCACGGCTCGCACACCGAGCGCACCGTCACCGTGTCGCTCGTGCTGTCGATGATTCGCGCCTGAGGGACAACACAAGTGTTTCATTTCAGATTCAAATTCTTTAATAGTATGTAGGCCCTTTTCAGGGCAATACGACACAAGGGACAACATATCCACGGTAGCCGAACGGTAGTGTGAGCCCACTCGTAATACAAGCTTATTTAGCGTAACAGGAGGGGCTAATGGGACTATTAGTAATTTGGGCAATACAGATTGCTAATAATCTTTTACAAAAAAAAAACTATCTAGTGGCTACACGACACTGGCAGTGCTAGCATAAGTATTGCTGGCGCTTGCAACTGGATGAATAGCCAGGTCCACCACACCAGACGATCTATGGGCTCCGATCGCACGAAGCACTTTGCACCATCCAATATAGACGTGTCGTGCGATGGATGCAAGGCCCATATAATAAGCAATAGCAACGAGGAAAAAAAAGTTCCAAAAAAGTTCCACAAGTGCCATAATAAATGAGGGAGAATGAGATCCCTTCTTAGTGAAAAATACTAATTCAAAATGNTTAAAATATTACCTTAATCCTCCGGGAGAGGGCGCGTTTCCTCCATGGCCTCTGCAGCAAGAGGTGGATCGGGAAGGTGATGATGTCGCATACTAACGCCACCGCCCGGATCGTCTTCAGCACCGCCGACACCCACCATGACTCCGGTCTGCGGACAAAACACGAGATTAAACACTAATTCAATGTGACAAGACTGGCTGCCTTATAAAGATACTGTAAGTGCGGTCAGATACTGTAAGTGTTGTGTGTCGAGAACAATTGCGAGAAAATAGTGAGTTGTTGAACAGTGGTACGGGAGGCAATCGTAATAAAAGACTGCGAAATAGGGTAGACCGATATGTCTGCCCATATTCCGTGACCATGGCGCTTGCAATAGTGCCGAAATATCGGAAACTCAAAATTAAGGTACATGGTAGCAATCCCGTCAGTAATAATAATTCAGCACGAACCAATTTACCAGATGAAAGGCGAAGATTTGCCCTACACTCCCCATGTGCTGGCCAGACGGGTTGGGGACCTATATTCGTCGATCGTCGTCGACGATGGCCGTTAGGGCAGGAAAGTTCTCGATTGGCGGTCACGGGCTGGAAGACGTAGCGTGGGCAGGCCTCCTACTAGGTGGACCGACGATCTGGTAAAGGTCGCGGGAAGAGCCTGGATGCGGGAAGCGCAGGACCGTTCAATGTGGAAAACCTAGGGGGATGCCTTTGTTCAGCAGTGAATGTCATTTGGCTGAAACGAACGAACGAACGATTTGTCGATCCTATTAGTAACCGACTTCAAAAAGGGGGAGGTTCTCAAATTCAGTTGGTACGTTTTCATATAAATGAAAGACCATCATAACCTTGTGACTCATTATGTCAGGGATAACTCGTACTTCGTACAACGTTGTTGTTTCGGTAATGTGACTAATCAACATGAGTTGATTAATTGGGCACACGTGATGACGGGCAAACAACACGACATACAGCGCTGCTTCTGAAGTTTTTAACGTCGATCACATGACAAATACGGTGTGACATGACAGTGTTTTTTTTAATTTCACTCGTGCGCCGCTTCGCACGCGTTTTTATTTTAATTCCGTGCTATCACACTATGATAAAACGTTTATAGTAGGTAATAATTAATCTTTCTAAATACACCGATAAACACCTGCATTTAGAATACTACCTACCTATGATACTACATAAACTTTTTATTTCTGGTTTGAAATTTGAATGGATTAAATTCTTAGGTCATTATGCGGTAAAAAATATTAAATTACACGTGCCAAATATAATGAATAACAAATAATCCAATCAATTCAGCAAATGAATAAGCATCTATTTTTATTTGAAATTGATAAGCTTGAATTATTATCAATGATGATTTACCGTCTATTGGAAAATTACTGCCCAATAATCATTATTATTACAATAAACAAGTTTTGATATTACTTTTTGAAATAAGAAAGAAATAGATATAGAATCATGCACGCAACCATGAGCGCTACATAAGTTTAAAGCTTACAAGTACGCTACTCTCGGTGAAGTTCTAAAGGGATCAAGGTGTACCAGAACTAGCATTTAAAACTTTAATAGGTAAAACAGCCTAGTTTAATGTCCAGTACCTAATTGCCATTTTACGCAACCAATTCATCAAAATTAGAAATATCTCAGACATTTTGTATTGCACTACATTGTAGGAATTGCTTGTTTATTTAACTAAAAAAGAATATTTGGTTTTCAAATTAAGACGTTTTCTACAGTTCACTTCCGTTTTTAGCGCTACATCGAAAAGCAAGCAATTATGCTCGTATCAATATTTATCTTCCATTAAAAGCTACATACTGCCTACGCGGTGCAGGCCCGTCTGCAGGGATACAAATGGGTCATGGGTCATTGGAAATCCCCAGTTGCCAATTTGGCATCTGGGGATCATTTTTATTTACAAAAAAATATCACAGTAGATAAATACTGTGCAAATTATTGCCATTTAAGTTGATATAAATCGACTAAAAAGTCAAGAAAACCGTGAAACAAATCTCGGTGCGATGTAGTGATACATTTATTAGGAATGTGAATGCTCTATTAGCTCTATGAAAGTCTTTATTTGTCTCCCTTCTAAACAGTTTATTTAAGATGTCGAATTTAATATTAGAATGTGACAAAGAAGGATATAGTAGAAATATACTACGGAGTTATACAGAATACAAGGTAACCCCTCGCAACCTGCCCTCAATGCATCTCATCAGTGCAAGATGGGTCCGTCTTGCCCTAAACCCTTCCACCCGGTCCGCGGGTGCACCGGGTCAGTGTCGGCGGATGCGTTGATAAGCCCGCGCCGCGGCCGTGACCTCGCGCATGCGCCGCCCGGGTACAATCGCCCACAGCGGCGTGATACCAAAATACCGATTAATGAGTGTTTTGTTATCACTGACTCAGCCCTTGTGAGCTTAAGATTAGTCAGTTAGTTTTATTATTTTAAATAGGTATTATTGACACCTGCTGACAACTTCGGTATTTGTAATGACTAAAATTCTGTAAAACTTCTTTTGAAGCTTTAATGACTAAGGTGCAGATGTGATTTAATTTTAAATATTATTCCCGAATGTAAAAAAAAGAAAATTCTGAAGAACCGCGCTTGCTAAGAATTATGTCTCTTATTTCGTGGGAAGAAACATACAAAGACATTACATTACAACACAGCAGGTGGACTGATAAAATGATGGTTATGCAAAATCAAATACGAAATATGTTTAGTAATGTATTCTCGTGTGTAGTTAGCAGTTAAGTAAGAGTATTCTCCATATTCCCATCAGCAATTGTCGAGTTGAGAGTTCTGCGCGCGCCTGTCCTCCAGATGCACTTTTGTTTTATTATCTAGAGGCCTTGTATACAGTTCCTCTCATGAATACGTTCATTTTAAAATGTTACAATAATAGGAGCGTTGGCTGAGCCATTTTCAATCTTACATAGTAAGTCAAAAGAGTCGCTTTCCGGTTATTTTTAAATATGCCTTTGTTGCATCTTCTAGAATCTTGAACAAGAATCTTGAGTATCCTTTCAGAAATTCACTTCAGTAAAAATTTTCACATCTTCCTGGTTATTAAACGCTTTTCAGATTTCTTCAAATTGTAAACACTGATCAGAATTTACAATAATAGGATAATCTGACAAACCTCGATGTTGTTGCCGAGTGTGTTATCATAATATGTGATAATACTTTCAGGAATCTAGAATACAGGTTGTATTATCTTTTCCGAAAATCTTTGGTGCGGCCCGGCGCGGGACGGTACTGCACCCAATTTTAATCCGAGGTTTCAAAGAAACTATAAAGACACTGGCTTTTGCCCGCGGCTTCACCCGCGTTAAATTCACCTGTGTAAAGTTTCATCAAAATCCGTTCAGTATTTTTTGCGTGAAAGAGTAACAAACATCCAGACATTCAAACATCCAAACTTTCGCATTTATAATATTAGTAGGATTCTAAAATTAAAAGGTCAACGTTTTTTTATTTGTTTGTTGATCAAGGTTATGTATTTTAGAATATTTTTAACATAAAATAAAAATCGTCATAAATCCAATGAATAATGAAGAATGACTAAAAGGTTATATGTATGTGTGAAATACATTGTTGAAGAGTTGGGTCTATGTTGTTACATGGAGTGTTAATGTAATCGCTCCCTACAAGTATGTAGGTTAGGTACTAACTTGACNTCCTCATTCTCTTAAATTGTTAATAAAATGTTGTATTTATGTAACATTCGAGTACCTACGTAAATTGGTTAAAAAGGAACAAACAACGCACTTGCGTAATGCAATAAGTGTTAATTACTACATTGTTACCTACTCTACTATGTGCGCCAAAGTTTGATTAGATAAACAGGATGGCTAAAATTGTTGACATTTAGATATCATCAACATATTTAATTGATTAAACAATTATAAAAAATGATAATTTAGTTGATTAGTTGTACAAAGTCTGATACATTAAGCACTTGAGCATTGAACCATTTAACTGAAGGGCAATGAATATCTTATAAAAAATTCACGTGAATGTAAGTCTTGTAAGAATTCCGTTCAACACAGGTCAGGTGAGAATCGAATAGTATATTGAGACAACTGCGCGTTAAGTTAATCATTATGGCAATTGGCATAGCACCTATGCAGTTATCTTAAGTGCTATTTTGGAAAAAATGTACCAATAGTATGCCGGCTGTACCACTTTCATTAACTTTCGCTGCACAAAAACTTCAGTGAGCTCTTCCAGATATTTGTTTGCTAGCGGCCGTCGGTTCATCTTCTGGCAGCGGGCCAAGGCCAGAGGTCGTCTAGCCGCGGGTCGGAGATGCCCATGGCGTTCCGATGTGCTTCGGCAATGGACACATTCTGAGTTATTAACAAAAGTTATCTAGAACTATTAGTATCGAATTCGTAGTTATCTGTGACCTAGACACAAAAGGTTATTTTAAAACATACATAGACTAGAGCAGATAAAATACACCATTACTAAACAAATCAATTTAATTTAGCTCGACTGTTCCGTACAAAATTGGAGAAATCTTTCTCCAATTAATTTCTTTCATCATTCTGAAAGTTAGGTTTATTTATAGGTTGGAATTGAGTCCAATTTTTATAAAATCATAAGTTAATTTCTTGCTAAAATAAATAATAGGTTTGAAAAAGTATCATAAAACTTTGCTCCAGTTCTTTTTCTCCTTCATTGGAGAATTTCGATAAAATCAAAAATATTTTATTCATTTTTGACCACTGGTGGCATTTATGGATGTCACATACAGTAAAAAAAGGTAGCCCTTAAGGGGCACTTTACATGTCGTCTTATCTTTTGGGCCCTAGCAGCGCTTTGAGACAAACAACATAATATGGCAAGTGCTGAGAAGAAAGAAAGTGAGCCGGAACAATCCATTCCAATTTGAATTCAAAAACTTCCAATAAACAATTGGAACTAAATGCTGATCTTGTNAACTTGACTATGTAAGCATACCCTAGCTGAGAGGCGCCGAGATCGCGTCGTATATCAAGTTAATTAACGACCTTCTACCGGCACGTGGACGCTCAGTTGCCGCAGTTTAGATGACGGAGCAGACTATTACCGCCGCACCTGGCAGGTTAAACTTTAACCAGTCATCTAATTGTCCCAGAATAG